AGGTGATGCGGGGAAGGCACTAGACACCCACATGGTTGACCGTGGTTCAAGTCCCAGATCTGGCGACTTGAAAATCACGCCAGGCATGAACCCCAAATCCCAGAAGAATAGAGGAGAAGGGATTGCAGTGTGGCCATCCCCCCAGGGGGCGACTTCTCATTTTTTCTTTCACTGACTGTCTCCCTCAGTCTTTCTCTTGTCCATCAAGTACATGTGCCCTATGGCAAAAACCTTAAAAAAAACTTGTAAAATTTATTTGAAAAGATGGAACTGTTGATTACTTGTACTACACCTAAATGTCAATTCAGTAAAAAAAAAAAAATCAGGTAGCACCTGGTCTTCGATCTATCTTCCTTTCTTTCATGTTTGTAGCAAGACTCCAGTCCCACCAAGGCAGCCAGCTCACCTCTCCTCCTTCTCTGTGGCCACCAGACATAAAAGATGACGATCTGTAGTAAGGAAACGAAGGTAGAGTTCAACTACAAACTGCACATTCCCTCTATATGAAGCATGATTTCAGGTGAGACCCTTCTCTGCTGCTGGAGAACTGGAGACAACACGGCTAAGCAGTAAACCCAGCAGTAGTTACTGATGTGCCGACATTGTGTTGGGCACTGTGAGAGATGCAAGGGAAGAGGAGACTTGTTCTTGACTTCAAGGAATTTCAAACAATGTGAGACAAACAAAAACACTGGACAGAGGATATGGCATTTGACGAATGTCTACATTTAGGGTTTAAACTGAACAAAAATTTGCAGTAATCAGAATTGGTTTTTTAAATTAAAATGTTTTATAAATGACTATAAAGTTATCTTTTATCAAGAATAGAACTTTCTTTTAAAATCCTTCTGGGATGGAGTGGGACCAGCAGTTGGTGTTAACGGCTATATCGCTGGACTTCCATGTAGTCGACCACGGTTCGAGTCCCAGACCCAGTGTGTGTGCCCAAGATCCAGAGAGGAGAATGGAGGAGAAGGGTCTGCAGTGTGGCCATCCCCCCTGGGGGATCCCTCACTTTCTGTCTCTCCGTTTCTCTCTTTCTGGCAAGCGCACGTACCCTATAGCAAAAAACTCTCCAAAATAAATAAGTAAGTCCTTCTGGGATGGTCAAGCTATGTGGTTCTACTCTAATTCCAGACCTTTGATATCTTTTGCAATCAATTGAGTATTACAGTAACAGTATTTAGGAACTCAAAACATCTCTGCTATGAAATTTATCTTTTGGACAGCATTTCTCATCAACCCTTACATACTTGACTCTTACCAAGATGAACAAGAGCATTTTCAATGCTCCTAATAGTGGTGTGAAGTCCAGAGAGACCAACATCCAACAAGGTCTTCCACTTGGTAATAAGGAAGGTCACATTTGAACAAAAATATGAGGGACCTGAGCAGTCATGGGTGGCTTCAGGAAGTGTCTCCTAGATGGTCCCTCTGTCTGCAAAGGCTCAATGAAATGTGGAATTCAGAGACTCTTGCTAATGCACTAACCTGGCAGTCCGTGAGGATTCCAAATGCCCTTTAAGGATCCCTTGAAAGCCTTTCCCAGGCCTGAAGATCTCTGATGGTGCATCCCAAGTATGCTTTACCCTCAGACCACACCCACTAAAGGTGACTGCACCCTTTGAAACTAACTCCACTTTAATGAAAGTGCCCCAGAACATACATGATGCAATTCTCTGTGCAAGAAGAGACCAGCATCTGTGACAACCCACCATTCAATGATATGAAAGGAAAGGTCAGAAGTGGCAGCCAAAATGTTTGTCTGAAGTGAGAGCCACAGATAGGTGCTTCTAGAAGAGAATGAAAGTGACTGGGGTGCGTGACTGTGTATTCAAAAGTGTGCAGTTGCTTGTTTGTGTGTATGAATGGAGGCTGAGCCCACGTCCAGAGGACACCTTAGCTCTGTAGCTGAACTAAAATGAGCTCTAGCAAAGTCGAATATCTCACTAAGTTGCCCAAACTGAGAATTTAGCACTTTTTCCTAGTGCCTTGGAGAACTAGGCATAACTGGTTTCAAACCACTACCGATTCCACAGCTATGACAATTTAGGGCACCCCTTGGATGTCTGCTAATTCTTGGGGCTCATTTTCTCATAGGTCCCTGTGTCTCAGACACCTGTGTACAGGAGTCCCATCTCTGCTCTGCTCAACTCAGCAGCAGCCAAGTACTCAGTTCCTTCTCGTTGGCACAAGAAATCCATTTGTTCCAAACATTTCTAAAATGTGTACACCCAGTTAAAGATTTGTATGTCATGTAGAAGATTTCCTGGCCCCCTACAACCCCCCAGAATGTTCTTCTTTTCTTATCTCCACCCTTCCCTCCCGGTGCTTGTGTCTGAAAGGCTCACCCCAAATCTGCCGATGTGCTAGGCTTTTAGAAAAGATGCCTTTCCATTCAGGAAGAAGAGGAGGTGTACGTGGCAAATCCTTTTTCCCTGCCACCTTCATTCTAAGTCTGCCTTCTCATCTACATGGTCACTTTTCCCCACTCCCAGAATCAGGTAGGCTCTTACCTGCTTGTGACAACACATTCAATATGTTGGCGACTTTTTCCTCCCTAAGAGTAAGAGGTTTATTTATAAAGTAGAAAAGTCTTGCAAGGAAAGTGTGCATTTTGCAAAAAGCTAGGCATGGGTTTCGACATATTTTTGCTCTCAGGTAAACTTGTACTTTAGTTCCATTCTCCCATAACTTTTTAGAGTAGCCTTATACAAATGCCTGAATCACTTATAAAGGAGTCCCAGAATTTATAGGGGGGGAGGGAGGAATAGAACTGTAGGAGATTTAGAGTTTAACCCAGAACATTCTAATCAAACACCATGCGGAGCGAGAAACTTTTCTTCCTCAGGAGACTACTTTGCACATCTCTCTCACCCCTTACCCTGGACCCGTGTTCTTTCTCCTCATAACATTTAACAGGAAATTTTTAAAAATCCACCTTATTTTATGGTTATACTGTAGTTATGTTTATCCAAATGTTTTAGGACCTCATAGTGGGGTAAAGCATCTTCCTAATGTCCAGGCGTGTAGTTGTTCCTGATTTTACTGAAGCGGTTAGCCTTCACGATTGGCTCCTACTTACCCTAAAGTGATCTGTAGAGGTCAGAGATTATGGATTGCAATGCTTTTGCTATTAATCATTTTCCCTTGAAGAATTAAAAATTGCAACCAAGCACGGAAGCTACTGTGTACCTCCCTTCCCCCTTCCTCTTATTTTAACATTCAGGGAAAGTTCTTGTTTGTGTAAGAATTAACAGATGTGCTTGATTTGAAACGTGTGGAGTAAAGTTATGTTGAAGCCATATGTTCACCCGCAAGAAAAAACTATTTTTATCTGAAAAAATCAATTTGTAAGAATTAACAGATGTGCTTGATTTGAAACGTGTGGAGTAAAGTTATGTTGAAGCCATATGTTCACCCGCAAGAAAAAACTATTTTTATCTGAAAAAATCAATTTGTATATTCTCTCTCTCTCTCTCTCTCTCTCTCTCTCTCACACACACACACACACACACACACGTGTGTCTTCCTACTCCAAAGGAAAAAATGGAAAATGTTCAGTCAATGGTTTCTGTAAAACAAATTTAGATCTTTCCACATTTAAACAAGATTCACATGTCCTCTACCAGTCTTGAATAGTTTACCAAAAGAAGGAACCAGAAGTTAGCGTAATGGCTATGTCGCTGGATTCCCACGTAGTTGACTGCGGTTCGCGTCCCGGACCCGGTGGCTTAGAACTCACGCAGGGCATGTGTGCGTGCGTGCCCAAGATCCCGAGAGGAGAATGGAGAAGGGATTGCAGTGTGACCATCCCCCCGGGGGGTGACTTCTCGCTTTCTGTCTCTCTGTCTCTCTCTGTCTAGTGAGCACATGTGCCCTATAGCAAAAACTTCTCAAAAAAAAAAAAGTTTAACAAAAGAATAAGAAATTGGGTGGCCAGATATTGTGAGTTCCCAACAAAAAGTACCTCTGATAGGCAGCCAGCCTCCAAGATGGCCCCCATTGGTCTCTGCCTCCTGGCGTTTATACCCTTGGGCAGTTTTCTCCCTCACTGTATCAGGGCAGGTCTATGTGACCAATATAATACAGAATAAGTG